GATAATAATCATATGGAAATATTGAGAAATTACAGTTCTGTGTAAGAAGTGAACGAAATGCGTTCACGAATTTCGGTTGCGCGGTGTACGACGTCTTTTTGTAATGTTCACTGTTTGGCCGTTTTGCGTCGATTCCGCAACATCGCCTCCGGTATTCTAAAACACAAAACAGTATTCAGCCAGTGTCATCTAAATCTCCTTCAAAATCGTTCAGTTTTTAAAAAAAAGATCGAAAGTTGCTGCGTAACTTACTTCAGATGTCTCATTAATGTCATCCAGCTCACTTCTCAACGTTCCTTTAAGAGCATCTGGTGACAGAACAACAAATGATTTTTCCAGTATTGAATCACGTGACTGAAAAATTCACTGCTGTGATAATCCAAACCACCATACAGAGCAAGAATCATTTCTTGCAAGAAGCAACAGAGCAAAAATCTCCAAAATAGGCTTTTTACTTACCCTGAACTGACTTAACCTTCGTGGAGCTTCTTTCTGTTTGCCTTCTTTTAGTAATTCATTCGCATTTGGAATTTTACTTGGCTCTGGCGCAATCCTGTTCTCCACTCGTTTCGGCGTTTCACCTCAAAGCGGATAATCGAATTAAAACGGATGACAAAGCCCAATCAAGTTAAGCTGCTCGATAAACAAAGTACAAGAAAGTACAAGAAAACAATCAAAGTCATTAATTTGCATAAATTATTTTGTCTAACTTACATTTGCTATCGCCTCTCATTCACTAGTAACTAGCAACATCGGATTTAATACCGAAAAATCCCATTCAAATTAAGTCCTAATTTGGCCCTGAACATTTTAATATCTCACTTCCTCCCAGCTTAGCAGTACTTCTCCCAGCTCAACAACGAAAGTCTAAGACACCAACTACACAAGTAATAAAAAAACTTTCTGTCCTTGCAATGCCGTAGTAAGCAGAGTAAAAATTAAAAAAGTAAAGAAGTTGCGGCGATTTGTACTACCTGTACTGGACACACGTACAGTGTCATTTTCGACCAATTTCTTGGTTTTGAGATCCGCATTAAGCATTTCCTCCATTAACCACGATGATGCTTGCTCACTGTAGTCCATCTGAAATTTTTAATACATCAGCGGATTTCAAAAAAAGGTGCAAAGAGGGTATAAGAGCCAACCCGATGAACCACTAAAAGGATCCCGTGTCGATTTTATTAGGATGCTCTCACAGGCCGCATGCAGTTATGCCAGGCCTTTCGATCTTGAGCTGCACCGTATTTCATATGTGAGATCCACTTTTTCCAAGGTCTCTCAAATATTCCATTATTTTTTTTTTTTTTGCATATAAACGCCCTTCCCTATTCCCCCTCCCCCTCTCCAAAAAAAAAAATTACGATGTTCTCCACTTTGAAAAATAAAATTCTTGAATACCTGACGGTTGGCTGCCCCTTTGACGAAATCTGTTCCATGCTCCACCTGTGAATGCATCGACCGTGCGAAGCCTTCCAAATCGGCGCAGAACGAGTGGATTTGTTCGCATGTCTGAAGTTTTGTTGCTGTGAAAGAAAGCGACAGCGTTTTGCGTGAAGAAGCGGCGTAAACGAAAAGCAAGTCACAAACTCATCAAAATTTCGTCAAAAAAAAAACCCCTTTTTTAATAAATGACTTTCATGCATTATATCGTAAGGGCAATCTGTCGAATACGCTTGCAAAGGGCACGAAAATAAAAGTACACATAGGCAATGAAATGCGTTGAGAACAAATGTTCAGCACCCTGAATTACCACAATCAACATCACCGAACAAAATAATTGGCCAACGCACGGCTGCCCGTGCGAAGATGCATTTTTTGCATAGCTCCCCGCAGATTCTTCTCGCTATCAGCACTGGTTTTCCCGGCAGATTCTTCTAGCTAAAAGAATTTCAGACTGGCCACCAGAACTGTCAGGAAATCATCCCTCAAAATTCCAGTCTTCTAGCTTCTCACGTTCTCGAGTTAGTAGCTCACCCGGAAGAAACTTTCACGGGCCCGTACGCTGGTACCACGCTTACCTGGGGGTTGGGTTTCAGTGCATTACCCTAAAATTTCAGTGTTCTAGCTTTTCAGATCCCCGAGTTATGGACTAACCCGAAAAAAATTTTGGCGGGCCCTTACGCGGATACCATACTTACCCGGGGGCTGGTTTTCAGTGCATTAACACATACTTGGACGGGGAACATCACCCTAAAATTTCAGCGTTCTAGCTTCTCAGATCCCCCACTTATGAACGCACCCCAAACTGCAAAAAACGCATAAATAACTTCGAATAAATTCAGAAAAACGGAATTGATCTAGTGAACTAATTTTTTCAGTCTCATAAATTACAAATGCTCAAATTAGTTCAGTTCAACGAAAAGCAGCCACTTCAAATTCGACTCGATGAAGCCAGGCAGAGGCAGGGAGCGGAAGCCCCCAAATGTACCCAGGCCCCCAAAAGCAGACAAAAAGTAATTTTACAAATAACCTTCGCAACGTTCTCATTCTGCATGGTGATTTTCTCGGCCGTTTCAGCTTTCACTGTATTCCAGGCCTCAGCAATCGCAACCGCATCGTCATTTGACGACTGCGAAAAACTGCACTGTTTTTGGCACGCCGAACTGTGCTCTGCTTCCAGCATTTTCATTTTCTCGTTCATCTGCTGCGTTTTGTCTTTCACCGCACCCACGTATTTCTCGAGCACATCGCTGACCTGAAATTCAAAAATCTGCTGTTGCACAAATGTTTTACAAAAATATAATCGGACTGCAATGCACCCGGCATTCCAGAGCCAATAACCAAAAAAGCAGAGGAAATAACCTAACCAAAACAAAAAATATGAGGAAAATTTTAAGCAAAAATTTTAAGAACAAAAATGAGGAAAATATTGTATTTGGATTTCGTAGAAGGCTTTTCGGGCTAATCTTTTGAGTCAAACTAAATATTTTTTGTTACGTCTTTTGACATACAGATTGCTCAGCCAGCGCGAACACCTGCTAACAATGTGGTCGACTGTTTCCTCTTCACACCCGCACGTTCGGCAACGGGTGGAGGCATTGGGATCCGTGCTCCGATTCCTTGTAGTAAGGGCCCATTCCTGTACCCCGAGGACATTACGAAAATTGAGGCCACTTATCACTGTCTTCTGCATCCATAGAAAAAAACGATCTTGCAA